AAAAATTTTAATACTCCTTTTAGATGTCGGGCTCTCCTGCTCTCTCCCCGACATAAAATTCTGCCTATCAAAATCCTTCCAAGATGTGGAGAAATGTCTGTAAAGCAGAGCTAAAGGCAAGAAGCAAAACAGACAGGTGCAGGCAGCAAAGACACACCAAGTGTCAACCATCATTTTCTCTGCTCGTTGGACCTGGGGCAGTTTAGGTTGATTGTTTCTCATCATCTCAACAATGAGAAGGCTTCGTGTTGGTAGTTTGTATAAAGCAACAGGATGCATTTTTTTTTTTCAAAATTAACAAGAAAATAGGACCGTGGAGATGTTCCAGGGTCCCTCTTCCTGCACTCACCAGGAGCACAATGTCACGGCAGGCCTCTGGCCTCTCTGCACAAACAGAGCAAAAAAGACTCAGAGCAAGAGGAAGCCTCTGAAGGTGGTGGCTGACCAGCACCACCTGAGTGACTACATGGACACTCCTCTGTCCCGTGCTGGACACCTGCCCCAGTGCACCTCCATTGGAGGACCTGGCCAGCTCTCTCCTCCCGCCCTGCCCAGACTCACTGCCCCCCGGGTTCCATGTGCCTGCTGCAGATGTGGGAGGACACTGCTGTGCCCCACAGAATGACCCAACCCTGTTACTCTCCCTGTCCCTGCAGAAGCATCAGGACACAAGGAAAGCAGGCATAGAATGAAGAAAAGGGACACAGAGACAAGGCGACATGGTGGCAGGGCTACATCCCCTGGGTTTTCTGATGGCATCTTCCATTTACTGAGCACCAAACAGAGGCATGACAGACATTAGCCCGCACAGCACAAGACAGGACAGTCGCTGCCATCCCATTTTGCAGGTGAGGACACTGAGTTCAGACAGGTCGGGGACCTTGCCCCGGGGCTCAAGATGAATGAGGATTCAAGTGCAGGTGTGTCTGTGGCCCTATCAAGTAGGAGATCGACTTTCAGGGGTGCTGTGGCACACTCCCTGGGGCAGGGCAGGGGACAGCTCTCCCCCATCCTGTCAGGATAGGAGGAGGGTGGCAGCTCCTGCAACGTTAAGATGTCCCCAGCTCTAAAGAGGAGGTCCCACAGAGCAGAGTGTGCCAGCCAGCCGGGCAAGGCCCAGAGACCCTCCTCTAAAACGCCTTCACCGAGATCAGCTGTCAGAAAGCTTTCAGGTCTGGCCTCCAGGGCCTCTTCTATCTGATTCTCCGGAGCATCAGCTGTTTGATTTCCTGCCAGCCCCTGAGCCACCCGTCCTGCCTTGGGCCCCACTTACCACAGAGTGCTCAATACAGAAGAAATGATTTTCCTGAAGATGTCAGAAATGGTTGTTTCTAAAAATTTGATTTCATTCTTAGGTATGCTTTTTTAAGAGACATAAGTGTGGGTATGTGTGTTTGTGGGCTTCCCCCCCCTTCAATAAAGGTCTGTTTGCAAAACAAAAATTTAATTGAACTAACACTTTTTAAAAAATAGAAATTTTAAAAAGATGTAGATGATGAAGAAATGGGTCCATTTTGGAACATTCTCTAAGAGAGTAGCAGACCGATGGTGCACTAAATGAAACCAGGGTCCTCGGGCCCTGGATTTCCCACTTGCCCCGCAGGGTGGCTGAGCACCCTTGTGCACAGGTATGTGCCCAGCAGAGAGCCTGCGGAAGTGAGCTGCGGCCACAGAGGGCAGCCTGGGGTCAGGAGCAGCCCGGGGACCAACAGCAAGTCATTTCGACATGATAGTCTATCAGTGCACGTTTAGGCAAGAGCAGGAGGTGAGGACCAGCCCTGGGATGTGACATTTACACAGCAGGACAACAGCACTTGGCACTGTCATTTTTTCTACTATCACAGAGTCCCACAGAGTATCAAGGAATAAAATCTGTCACATCCCTCCAAGCCAACAGGTGGGTGGAAGACAGACACTTGTTGCTATTGAGACCCTGAGTCACGTTCACCAGAACCCAGGAGGACATTCCCTCCTTCCCGTCACCCTCCATTTTAATGAGCTTGCTTCATGTGGGTGGCGCTATTCTGGGTGCCTGCTGTGTGCACAGTGTGACATGGAGAAAGCTGGCTGCATGTTTTTAAATTAATAAAACCAATTTCCCATCACTTCATGTTTTATCGTCAAACTTCCCCACCCCTGTGGCTTCAAGGAACGCCTTTCCCTGGGAGTCACTGAAGCAGGCACGGAGTCCCCGTCCCTCAGCCTTGGGCAAGCCTCTCGGTGGCTTCCACATCCTGCCTGGTTCTCCTCTAACACTGCTCTCCCCAGTTGTGCTGGGCCTGTGTGACAAGGGCACCCCCCAAGCACCCATTTTAAAGATTCAACTCTAGGATCGGGGCTGCAACCTGGGGTTCCTGACCCCCACGGGGGACCCAGGGATAAAAAGAGATTCCCATTGTATTCTGAGTATTTTCTTTGATGTGTTGAAAAGCACTCTTCTGAGTCGGGCTCCTGACTTCACCAGACTTCCTAAATGGTAAACAGGATCGGGGAAGGCTGGGGGTCGGATGAACCCCCCAAAGTGAACCTCACGGAGTCATGGGGAGAGGAGCAGGTCTCCCGGAGTCTGCAAGCAAACACCGAGCCGGTCTGTGGTGAAGGTGGGACAGGTGGTGTCCAGCACCAGAGGCCAGCGGAGCCCCGAAGGCCAAGGGTGAGCAGCCTGCACACAGGCATGAGCTCCGTCGCTCGCCCGCGTTTCCCCTAGAACTCTGGGCCTCTTCCTAAGACCCAAGACCCTTAAAAAAAGAAACATCAGCTCCTAAGTTCCTTCACTTCTTCCAACCCAGATATTTGGCTCCCAATCTCAAGTCACCAGGGGAGAATGATGGGGATCACAAAGACTGGGCCAAATACTTTTCCCCTCTTCCAAGAGCCTCATGGGATCTTATCAATGTCAGTGAAGAAAACAAATCCCACCCAGATGCAGAGTACAACCTTACAGATTCCCCGGGCCTGACACCTGACCAGCTAATGGATTTATTTACTAGAACAACCCCAAACAGTGCGCACACTAGAAGACGGGAAGAGCCTGTGTCGGGAGCTGTTTCCTAATTCCACCGACAGCGGTCATTTTCCCTGTGCTAATTGGAGCTTTGCACTAACACAACTCACACTGCAGTCCAGGACTCCAGACCTCGTTTCTCTACTCTGTAAACAGGGCTGGAAACTCATCTCTTGACCTTGCCCAGGAAGACTCACAGGGGCAAGTCCTCTGGGAGTGACCTGTGAAGAGAGGCTTTTAACCAAGGGCTTTGAAGTCACTTTTTAGAGGTTCACTTAAGAGACACACTACACATGCATCGAGTGTAATAAAGTAGTAAATCAATATTAAATAGAAGCGTGAACTATTTCCCAAAACTCATTCTGAGAATCACAAAGCACTCAAACTTCCAAAACAACTTCATGTCTTTGCCAACATATACTCTCAATTGAACACTTGAACTCATCTGTGTAGTTTTCAAAGTTTCCCCTACCTCCTAAAGGATGGTCAGTTACTTCTGTCCCTTTTAATGCACGGATGGAGGGGAACATGGAGGCTTCTACTCAAGCTACTTAAGATTTACACCAAAACATTTGATGGGATTGTTATGAAGTATGGCTATAATGAAGAGTAAAAATAAGAACCAAAAGGGTAGCATTGGGGGCCGCAAAATCAAGGAGTTTCTACTGAAGTTTCAGGGAAGATGAAGCACCTCAGACCTCCAGCTCTAAAATTCTTTTTGGTGATAATTGTATTTCAATAGAAGAAACATCTCTGTAAGGCGAGAAAGTCTTTGGTACATGAATTTAGTGACAAATTATTGAACACACTTGAGTAATAAAACGGAATAGAGCTCCTGAAACACAGTTTATAGGGTGTGTGTCAAGCAAGTCTCCAGAACAAACATTTCAAGCAACAAAAACACCAAGCCAAGAGGACTCTGGGAAACCCCTCGGCCCAACTCCAGGCCAGCGTCCATGTCCACGAGCTCTCCAGCTCACCCACACCCTGCGCAGACACGGCCCGCGGCTCCTCGCCTCTCACCGGCTGCAGAGCTCAGGGCGGGCCCCTGTTCCCTGTCTCCCTGCTTTATCTGCTGGTGCTGCTGATTTTTCTCATTTCTACAAATGTCACCAAGGCCTGCGCCTGGAAAATGCCCCAGCAGACCCACCGCCTCGCAGACTTGGCCGCTGGCACTAAGCACTGCATTGACTTCATTTCCAGGAGTTGAACCTCATCAGGTTTCCACCGACCTGGGTCTAGCTCCCGGTTAAACTCGACCTGCCATCCACTGAAACACTGCAAGAAAACACTTCCGACCAAACACCCAGAGCACAGAGAACCCGCAGCCCCTCGCTTCCCAATCCCCACAAACCCAACATCTCTCGGAAGAAATCTTACAGTGCACAGAGGGGTAGGAATTTTATTAACCATAAACACGTCCCCAACAAACCCAGTTACCACCACCAAGGAACGCTTGGCCTCCCCGGCACGGAGGTCCCACCAACCAAGCCAACACCAGCACGTCCCATTACCCACAGACACCTGCTGAGCATCTCTTCGTTTCCACGGGGACTGGCTGGCATGCCTGGGGCTAAGGAGTCCCTGAAGAGCTTCCAAAAGTTCAACTCTGTCAAGCCCATCTCTTCCTTTGCCCCTGCCCTCCAACCTCGGCGACTCTTGCCCAGAGTCGGAACCACCACCAGGCACCGCGAGGAATCAAGAAAGAATCTAAAAATTCAGAAGCGCTCCAAAAAGCTTTGCAAAAGTCACCCACAGCACTCAACAGTGAATTTAGAAACCCCAATTTTTTTCTGAGTTTGAAGTTTTTAAGCCTTGCGGATGGTTGGAGTAGGAAAAAGGAAATTTACTAGGCAGTGCAGAGGAAATCTTGTTGTCCTCTATTGTGGTAGGGGGGGGTGTTGCCCAACCCTAACTTATCTACCCTGATAAAGGAAACCAGAGAAAGCGCAAGAAGAACAAGATTCTGTCAAACGAAAAGGAACCCTCTCCTTACCTTGATAGTGCTGGCCATAATGCAATCAAGTTTATTGATCGTTAATAAATGTTAATAATAATTATTGCTTCTCTCTGACCAGAAAGTAGTTTTGATGAGGTTGTTTAGAGCGGATGAGATTGTGCTAAGTCTGGGAAATGAAGTCAGCCAATGGCAGGAAGAGGTTTCTATTGGTCCTGGCCGCCCAGCCCGAAGAAACAGGATATTTGGGAGTGGAGAGATAAGAGACCCTGAAAACAATGTTGTTTTTCTTGATGATATGCAGCCAGGAGATTTTTTTTTTAATTAAAAAAAAAAAAAGACATCAATTGCCTGGGACTGAGCCTGCCACAGCAGGTGTGACCGGCATGGCTCCATGTGACACGCTGCACCAGGACCCAGGCAGGATACAGATGTGGTGGGACTCCGCCTGGCTTCACATGGGGAGGGCACCCTCCACCTGGGTGCCAGGACACTCGGCCCCCTTCTCCCGGGACGTGCCACTCAGGTAGGAAGGAGGACCTGAGCTGTTTCCCCTGCAGCCCAACTCTGCAGGTGGGACCCTCTTCACGTTCCTAGATGGCTGCTGGCCGGCTCAAGTGATCCTCCGTCCCTCAACCGAGTGTTTCAGAGCTACTGAATTTCATGTTGTCCTTCCAAACACACACACAGTGGTGATCTGCTCCACAAAATGAATAAGTAAAGGGTCAAAGATGTAGGCTCTCAACCCAAAGTCACCAAGAGACGGAAAATAAGTAAATAAATAACCCTGTCAAAGTTTGGTTTTCAAATATTTAAAATCCAAACAGCGAAAATACAGCCCACGTTTCAGAATGTCTGCGAGCAGGTCCCCTGGCAAGCGGCAAGGCTGCGGACAACAGCCCGGCCAGCGTGGCCTGCCAGGGGCTGCCATGTGAGGATCTCGTTAAGTGCTGCAGGCCCCCAGGTTCAGGGCCACACGGCTGTTTTCCACTCAAGGAAGTACAGCTCATGCAGCCCGCACATTCCTTAGAGGATTCCAGGCCTTTAATTGCTCATTGTCAGGAAATTACTTGTTCTCTGGAAGAAACAACATTCTGTGTTGGATCTAGCGACACAAAAGGGGGACCAGTGAAGAGGTGTGGTCTCAGTGGGGACCCAGGGACACAATAGACCAGAACCTGAGTCACTGGCCACTCTGGGCTTCAGAGGTGGAGGTTTGGAGTTGCTTTCATTCAGGCTGTGGGCTGGCCCGGGCGGACGCTCTCCACTGGCCTGCGCCTCTCTAGTTCTGAAAGGTTCCCATGTCCTCGGCCCCATCCCAGGTCCCCCTCTTGTGTTAGGATAGGGCAGGAGGAGGAGGAGGAGGAGGAGGAGGAGGAGGAGGAGGAGGAGGGATGGGGAAATTAGGAAAAGAGAAGGGAGAGACAAGAGGAAAGGAAAGAGAAGAAAAAGCCAACAAGCAAGAACCTGAGGAAGAAATCCTACAAAATCTCATTCTGTGTAGCAATCAGAAGCTGTGAGTTCTCAGCACCTCCATGTTGAAGRGAGGCTGATTTCCGCCCTTTTCATCTCTGAACAATGAGTGAGATGGTAGGCCGATTAAAATTGTGTTTCCCCTAAAATTTCAAAGTCCTGAGTTGTTTTATCTGGGAAGCTTCCACTGGAATTCAGGAGTAGTAAGAAAAAAGGAAAAAAAACCCAAAACCCTCTCTAGCTTCCCCAAGAGTTCTTGCTTTTTGTTCTCTTCTAAAGAGGACCAGTTCAGGGTTCCGTGTCGTCTCCCATAACAGTGCTGCATTAAGGATCTACCAAGCACCAGCTTAAACAAGACGACCCCTTTGCTAACAGAGCAGCCGGGGAGGGAGCTGTGCGTGGTCCTGCCTCCCTGGCTTGCCCTCCGCAGCAGGAAGCTCTAGCATGTTTGTGGAGATCCCGTTCTTCCACGATGATCTCCCTATTTATTTATGCATCATATACACATATGTAATATCTCTTATTCTTTAAATAATGAGAATATTGTGTTATTAGAGACTAATTTGTTTGCCTGGATCCCAACAAAGAGAAACCAGATGAAATTTTTATTTCCTAAAGATTCTGCCAGTTTGATTCTAGTTTTGAAAATGCATAAAATTCTAAAAAAAAAAATGATTGCAGAATGTTGACTTTTAGATCATGAGTTTTAAACCAATTTTTTAAAGGCAAATCCAATCTTTTCCATTTCTTCCTTTCTCCTTTCTTTTTCTTCTTTTTTTTTTTTTAATGTTACTTAGGATAGAACCCAGAGCCTCGCTCTCACCTGGCAAGCGCTCTGTCACTGAACTACGTCCCCAGCCTTATCTTTCTCATTTCCTGAAGAAATGTTGATTCCTAGCCTCTTCTAGGAGAGCAAGTCCTGGTGTCTAGAATGGCATGAACAGCATCCACACCTGGGAGTCTCGGGACAGTTAAAACCAACTTGATCAGCCCCTGGTGGCACAGGGCAAACCTATTAATCAAACACTGCACTGCAAAAGCCACCTCCCGAACATTACCCTGAAAATGGTGACTTCATCCTTCCTTGACCCGGCACCAAACCTCAGCCTGGGGCCCAGCTGCCTCACGACTGGCACCTTTACACCCAGACCCCACTCTTCCTTAGGGAAAGCGGCCCTCAAGGTCACCAGTTAGGGGGCCATCTGCAAACGGCCCATCCTGTCCTACCCTGGCTTGAGGAGACACCAACCTGGACCAGGGAGCCCACCCAGCAGCTGAGGGCAGCAGCCCCTCAATCAGTTACACCTCTCTATCTTGCAGTTATCCGTCAGGCATCCATCACCCACGAATTCTCCCAAATCCCTCAGAAGTCTGCAGTGTTTTGCTCCAAATAAAAGGAGGATGTAAGATCCAAAGACCACCAAAGAACTGCGACAACCAAGAAGCCCCGATGTTTATGTGTCCTGAAACTCTTCCCACTTTCTGAAAGTTCTGCAAGTTCTCATCTTTGTGCTCTTGCTAACTTCTCCACGTGGAGGATGTGAGGCAGCTGGGGAGTGGAGAAGGCTCTGGAGGAGAACAACATAGTTCTAACAAGGACGTGTGACGTGGTGGAGAACAGAAGAGGCGGTCGAGGCTCATAACTTACCTCGTCCTTGGCTTGGCCGTGCATGAGGCCTGCAATGCCATGTCCATCGTCACGGACAGTGTCCAGAAAAATGATGTAGGAGACAGATGCTCTGATATTATGACTTCTCTGACATGCTACCCGGTGAGTTAAAAACCATGAAGGAGAATTACAGCACAGACCCATCATATTAAAAATGAATAAGGAAAGAAAAAATATCAGCAGGTGTATACATACAATACTCATAGTAGATAATTTTGGTCATTTTTTTCTTCCTTTCTATTTAGAATCATCTGTATTTTCAGAACCTTTATAGTGAACAAAAGTTAGATTCTAATGTAGAAGGTGTCTAAGTGAGATGGCATGTTCTGTTTGGGGAAGCTGCTGTCAACTGCAGGCTTGCTCTGTGGAACATGCAGAACAGGACACCTCCAGCCGCCGCGCCCTAGCCCATGTGTCACAAAATGCACGTTGTTTTTAAATTTGCCTCCAGCAAGGCAAGGTTCACTGTTTGGGGATAAATGTTAGTAAGAAGCCCCAGAAGACAGGCTTGTGCTCTGTGATGGTCACTGACCCCACACTAATCCATCCTGTCTGTGTCAACGGCATGCCCCTTCCACGCAGGAACTCTGGTGGGCACTCAGGAAGCCAGGCTGACAAGACCCCTCTTGGGGGTTCGGGAAGCTGTCAGTCTGCATGGATTCCGCACACATGAAACTGCGGAGCCTGGAACTGACCCATGAAATAAACACAGGCTTTAAACAGTAAAACAATAGCACAAAAATGCTGTATATTGTCCCTAAGATGACACATGAATCTTAAAATGCATAGTGTTTGGATTATTCACAAGAGCCCTGCAAGAAGGATGTCCCAAGGAATTCTGCCAGGGACATGCCTGAGATTGTAGATAAGACTCCAGCATCTGGAGCTGCCCCACAATGGAACAACATCACTCAGGGGGCTTTTCCGTCTGCATCAATAGGAGGATTTGCCTGAGAACAAATGCCGAGTAAGGCGCTCCCAGCCCTCAAGGTCGCACTGCACACTGCTGAAGGACCCTCCTTCTGTTCATAGCACACCGCAGGACTCGCCCCACTGGGTAAAGCTGTGTGTGTGTGTGTGTGTGTGTGTGTGTGTGTGTTTGTGTGTGTGTGTGTGTGTGTGCGCGCGCAATGGGTGCACGCCATCCTCCATCAGCACATGAAGAAACAATCCAATTACAATTTAAATAACTGCTGTTCCAACACTTTTTCTCTGTGGTCAATATATTCTTCAGTCTCTTGCTTGATTGGAACTCCTCTAAACCAAGGAAATTGTTATCACATACTAAATCCTCGACTTCTCAACACCGAGTTGCAATTTCCTTCATTTTGAAGCCCACATCAGGTYGGCCCCATGGGCTCAAATGAAGCAATGATTTCAATAAACACAATTGCATAAGCAGCCCCCACATTCTCCCGTTTGTGCCAGCTTTGCCTACACCACACGCCTCTGCAAATGCAAGAATGTCGGATCCATTATCAGAGATCCTAAATACGTCAATGTATTACTCACAATTAAAAAATACAGCCCAAGAGGAGAGCGATTCTCTTGCCACAATAGTTCAGCTTAAAGCAACCTTTAAAGTTTTTGATGGTGCTATCAAGCTTCTACATAGAATCTGTGAGCAACTAAATGCGTCTAAATGGGCATGTCTGAGCCCAGATGACACAGCCATCAGGTTGCCTCTGGTCACCTTGAGGCTTGGTCTCTCTAGGAGGCACACAGTCTGAGGGTGCCAGACCATCTGGCCATCCTGTCTCGAGGCTGCCCTGCCTCTCTGCCCCATTCCTGGATCCAGTGGATTCTGTCCCAGGTGCTAGACAACATCACTGGCCACCCTGAGAAGTCATCTTGGGTGGTTGAAATGAACATCAATTTTGATCACTGGTCAGAAGTTTAAGTGATTTTTTTTTTTTTAAAGAGTGTGTCCATCTCCCTTATAAGATACTGGCCATCATCTTCATCATATAATTTTCTTTTGTCTTGATCGATAATTAATTTTAAAAGAAAATATAAATTATCTCCTAAA